GTAGATTGTGCAAGAAAGACTCACGATAGCTTGGAAAAATTCACTTCCAAGACCCTTGCTTTGACACTCAAAAAGGTGATTCAGTCATATCTATAATCAGTATAGCTTCTTCTTCATTTTTTTTTTATTTTTTTTTTCTTTATTATTATTATTATTTTTTGTTTGATCTATCTATATAAATTTATGTGTTTTTTAATTCTTGATGAAAGAGTTAAACAGGTTTTTTTCGAATTCTGCTTTTGCAGGAGTTTGATGGGGTATATGGACCAGCTTGGCACTGTATAGTAGGGACCGGTTTTGGGTCTTTTGTAACACATTCAGTGGGTGGGTTCATATACTTCTCTATGGACAACAAGCTACATGTCCTCTTGTTCAAGACAACTGTACACAAAGCACATTAAAAGTATTAAACAAGGAGATGACATTCATTTCCTTTTGATATAGACAAAATTTATATATATCTCCTCAATTGTTTGCAACATTATTGGCATGTTTGGTTACTAGTGGCGTCTAAGTGGTGAACGTAACTTGATACTAGAATGAACAAGTTTTAACTTTTTTTCTTGCTTAACTCGCGACCTACTGACTAATGTTATTCAATAAATGTTCCCAAGAAAAGTTGGGGTAATGTTCTTCCCACCTCAGTTAACATTGTCATTAGGTCATTTTTTAATGGCCCTTTAGTTACTCCATTAGTAATTGTATTTAGTTGGGATTTTGAGTATGCAAAACCTGTTTAGTTACATTAGATAGTTTATGCCTATGATAAAGCATTTGGATTTCCTTTTTGCTTGGGTTGAGTAAATTATTAAAAGTGCACGTAATGATGCGCAATGGCTAATGATTGTTTCCTTGTATAAATTGGATATGGTGATGAAAACAGAAGAATCCAAACTTCATGGGAAAGTATAAAGAAAATTTCTTCTCTTGCTTTGTTGGCAATTCAGCCATTCTTAGTGTTGATTAGGTGGCTCAAATTTTTGTATATTGTGGGCTAGACGATGGAGCAGAGGAGACGGGCTGGTAGTCCTATTTAGTAGTCGAAGTTAGTGCAGGTAATGGACTCCCAAATTTTCCCTCAGCTACATGTAAAATTCACTGAATTCCCATTGGTGTTTGTTTATTAGTATGAACCGCCTCATGCGAAAGTTTAAAATATGAAATAATGGGCCTCTCGGAGCATATCTCAATGGTGCAAAGGATAAGGGTGAGGTATGTCCAACTTTGCTGGCATCCGCAGTGTGAGAGTTCGATTCCTAAAACATGGATTGTGACTCTTTGTGGGCACCAGTGTGCAGACAGCTCTTCCTCCCTAACCTGTTGGGGTACATTCTGTGATTAACCTCTCTCACAATACTCCAAGAGTGGAACGGTGGGGGACCCTTAAGGTTGGGGTTTAATATTTTTTTTAAATACGAAATAATGGATTATGCATTATGCAAAGATTGGGAATTCATGGCTCCAAGAAACAATCCTAAGTCCCAAGGATGACCTTGGCAGACTCAATTTATATTCAACCTACTTTTTGTCGATGATGTCTGATTTGGACAAATGATATCACTTTTTTGAGTGTAGGTGAGCTTCTAAACGAATGATCGCATTTCATCGTTTAGGAGTCAATGGTGAACCCTTCAACTTTATCAGAAGTGCTCATTTGTTTATTCTTTATCATTATTTTTGTGAGCTGTTTTGTATTATAATTAAACTGTCTTAGGTAGGGATCCGGTACGAGGATGATTAGGTTTTCATTGTCGTGATTTTGATTTCGAACCATATTGCGCTTGAGATTATTTTTCTATATTTAACGAAGTTTTCGATTTGAACTAAACCCAAGTTGAGTAATAAGGGGACAAGTAGCACAAATGTTTATTATTATTTCCTCGATGCGATTACATGATTGAATAAGAAAATGATGTAAGATAATTGCTTGCACAACTCTGTATAATATTGTCCAATCCAACAAGCTAAACGCATTCTTTAGGCATCAAGAAAGATTTATTAAATTTATTTATAATTTTCACCTTTTCACCGATCAAAAGTAGCAATTACAGTTTTATTCACCTTGAAAATCTATAATTAAGTTCCCTAACCCGATCAAGGGCTTGCATGGATGTCTTATAGAGCCACAGACTTGGACGTCACTTTTTTATTTCTCAATTTTTCTAAGGCCCGAGTGAAGGCATATGAGTTGAATGGATTAACCAATGAACAACCCTATAGCTATCCTTGTAGCCTTGGATTAATGCAAGAGGTCGATCACCAGTTTTAAGAACCATTCGTTGTTTTTCTTTGAATATCGAGCAACTAATCCCAATCATTAAGCCTCGTTTTACCCCCATTTTTGGGAAATCAAAATGGGTGAAATAGTATTTGTTTCGAAAAATGAGTGTTTAAAAAAGAAAGAAATTTTTTTAATTTACGTATAATATTATTTTATGAATAATTATGCAGTTAAAAGTAAGAGAAAGAAAATGGAATGTAATTTAGCCTCCGTTTGATCCCATTAAATTCAATTACATTACATTCCATTTTTCTCCCTCCTATTTTCAACCACACAATCTTCCATAAAATAATATTACACGTAAATTGAAAACTTTTCCTTTTTTTTTTCAATCGCTCATTTTTCTAAAAAATACTATTCCCCATTTTCATTTTCAAGTAATGGGTCAAATGGGTGCTTAATGAGGGTCAAACGGGGCTAAACCTCTATAGCACGATAGTTAAATTGAATAATAGTGCAAAAAATGAAAAGATGAAAAGAGAAAAGAAGTTAAATATGTTCTCGTGATAATGCACTATTTATCTAAAATTTTTAGTCATTTTTAAAGAAAAAAAAAAAGTGCTGATTTCACGAAATATGTGAATAATAAATGGACATTGTGGACTGATAAAAAAAAAGAAAAGAAATTATTAGTAATGTTTTAGAAACATGACCGTGGTTAAGAATTAAACATACTGTTATTCAGAAAATCCATTGATTTTCTGGTGAAATACATAAG